CATTCATGATGATATCTTCAATTCTCTAATTTTGGTGAATATTTTTGTCATTTTTGGTAAAAAGTGATATTTTTAACTTCTTGTTAAAGTCCAATTGCTTTGATATTACATATATAGGTACTACATGTGGACCTCTCTCAGATTTGTTCATTTTGTAATGATATCTTTAATTCTCTAATTTTCATGAATATTTTTTTCATTTTTGGTAAAAAGTTATTTTCGACCTCTTGTTGAAAACCGCAAGTCCAATTGCTTTGATATTACATATATAGGTACTACATGTGAACCTCTCTCAGATTTGTTCATTTCATGATGATATCTTCAATTCTCTAATTTTGATGAATATTTTTGTAATTTTTGGTAAAAGGTGATATTTTCCACTTCTTGTTGAAAACCGCAAGTCTGATTGTTTTGATACTATACATATTGTTCATTTTCTAATGATATCTTCTGTTCTTTAATTGAAATGTGCATTGCTAACAGCGGAGCTTTCTCAGCCGAGAGGCTGCTTGTTTATCAGACTGTATGCTCGTCAATCGTGGTGAAAGTTGTCATTCAGCAAGTTTTGGCTATTGGAATGTCTCGCTATATGGATAGTGCGATGGGCTTGAAATAGCAAGAATTTTGTTTTGTTGACTCGCTGGTTGTTACGTTTCTTATAAAAAAATCTTGAAAAAAATTAATGCAAACTGCGTAAACAGTGGTGAACGCGCTGCTCTATTTATGTCACAGCTATTTCGCTTTCACTCCTCGTTTTACACAATTTACATTTATTTTTCAAAATTTTTCCCATGTACAGATTTCTACAAAATGTTCATTACTTTCATGTTCGTTGCTAATAATATAAAATAATGTTTTGTCCAAATGTTTACAGTCCAATGCCTGACTTCATTGAGGATGAGGCCGAGCTGTCTGGTAGTGAAGCAGGCAGTGATGATGAAGAAGGTGATTATGGAGATGATGAATATGAAGAGGATGCCATTGATGAGGAATTACCAGAGGCTGACATGTTGAAAGATCAGATCAACAGAATACACATGTGAGTTCTTAGAAAATATTTACTTAAAACTAAGTTTTGAAGAGCAGTGAATAACCCAAAGTATGCATTCAGTATGGAGATCATATCAACCAATGTGTATCGTATTGTTGTGTCATTAGCAACTTCATGTTTATTATTCTCTGTTTGAACAAAGTCAGAAAATGGGGACTTGTAAATTCACCTCTCCTGTGTCTGTCTATCCATTTGCACATTTATCTAAGACATGCCTGGACCACCAATCATCTTGGGATATATATATATATATATATACACACACATGTACATTTGTTTCATGACCGAAAAGCAGTCATTTATAATTCCAAATGTTGATTGAATAGTCATTTAGCAAGACGACTTGAAACTTTGCAAAACACTTTGGTTTTTGTCAAATCTAGATGTGACAGCGTCATTTAATCGACGTGCACACAGTTCAGAACATCCCATTATCATACTAAATGACGGTCAAAGTGCAGTTTTTCAAAATCATATGTATTCATTAGAATACATGAACAGGTTGTTTTAACTTTCTTGAATCACATACAATCTAGACACTCAAAAAATGAAATATAGTTCGTGTACACTAGTATATCATCAAGTTGACATCCCCCATAAAATAGTGAATCCCACACAGCACACTATCAGTCAAATGGCACCATCACACAGAAACTGGACCTTAGTAGTGCATAGACAAACATTGAACTTAATAGTACCATTTTAATGAATGCTGATCCAAACATCTGACATTTAATATGGGACATATGTACACTTGTAGAGTGAATAAAATTATTTTTAAATGAAATTACTTTGAAACAGGCAAAGACCATGCCATATCATTACTTGTTTGTTGTAATTATTATGAACAGGAAAACAGTTGAAGATGATGATGCTAGAAAACTAAGATTATACAAAGAAATGTACTTACAAGATGGTGATTTATGGAGTGATGGCAAGGGAAGAACAAGACGATTTAGATGGAATAATGTGGAAGGTAAGGTTACAAGGTTTAGTGTAGCATGAGTATGTTTTATAATTTCATATCTCAGTTCCAGTATTGGGCAACTTTCATAAAAATTTGCATACAATTTTTGTAGATGAGAGTTCACAGATGGACATGTTCTGGAAGGCATCTGACAATGAAGAAAGTGATCAAGAAACTGAAGAAGATTTGAAATGGAGAAAAGAAAGATATGAAAGGGAACAATGGTTAGAAGAACAAAAACAGGTAAATCATTATAATATTCTACACTTTCATCCATGGTTTGATTTGATCACAAATCTAATATGCAGACAATAACTCATTATGCATAATTATATAAAAGAAAAATTTCATGAATGGATATTTTTATTCATACAGGAGAAAGATGGTGTCTTTGACATTGATGAAGACAGTCAATTCACAAAGATTATTAAAAATATACAGATAAAAAAGAAAGGTATTCTGTCTCAATTATTAATATCATTCTTATTTTCCTTTTTGGTGTGCAGACTCTTACTTGAAAGCAGAAAATAATGCTAATTATTTATCATTGCTCAAATTCTATTGTTTACTATGTATATTGTTTAGTTGACATCTCTCATTAATCTGATGAGCAGCAGTGTTAACCACAAGTTAAATTAATCACACCCAGCGTTGAACATTTTGAAGTCACCGAAAAGCATACAAGTACTACGGTAGTAGCATGAAATTTAATTTAAAATGAATAGTATAAAATTATACATTTCTCATTACAATAAAATTACAGCTTCTCCAAAGAAACTTCCTGCTCCACCACCACCCAAGGAGAAAGTTAAAGATAAAGAAGTTACAGTTCCCAAGCCGTTACATCAGACTATGGTAAGCACTTGCGAATATTGCTATATGTGTTGCTCCCCTCACAGCATTAACTAAGGCCACCATACTTTACTGAGAAAATCATTTAATTCCGATAAGTCCCATATTTTTCTTCTAATGATTCAGAATCAGCACATTTTCATTTCTCTTTATAGTTTCGCAGAGGCTCTTTCCTGTGTCGGAGTAAGAAAGATCTTGAAAAGATAGCAGCAATGGCTAAGCCTGTTGCCAATCCAAGTGGTCCCAAAAATTCTCGGAACTTTGTTTTTCAAGCATTGTCACCACCAAAAGATGGAGTTACTAAGAAACCACAGGTAATAGACTCCTTAATATGTGTATGTAGTTCAGCTTTATTGATGCAAGCTTCAAATTAAATTTGTAGTTGATACACATTGATAGGCAGTCATCAATGATCAAATAGTGGACTATTGACAAGTAAACCACAAATGTTGAATGCACCTTGACATTATCTGCTTGTATTAATGTAAAATGACAATCCCATCGATCTATTCATTCCAGGTGCGAAGGTCCATCAGTGTAACAGGAGCTGTGGAGCAGTCAATCAGTAAAAGACCAAGATTAGAGCGAAGTCAGAGTACTGTTGTAGCCAAAACAAGCATTTTTGAACACTTCGATTAATTTCTTTACTTTAAATACCTCATTTCATGTACATACATTTCAAGTAGTTGAGTTAGTGGCGGGTGCTGAACATGTAATGTATATTCAGGGAATAGTAGACATAAGTTATTTCATGATCATTGATACATTCAAATAGGTGTCTGATTTGCTTGATTCTGTTTGTAAATAAGCATTTATACCGAGGTTACTTTAAACTGTCCTTGCTTTATTCTAAATTAATAAATTTTATTTTCACAGATTCTTAATAGGGCCCAATTGTATACTGGGAATTTTTAAATAGTACTCAATATATTGTATAATATAGATATTAGTGTTATATTTTAATGTGATGTACTCAGTACATCATTATCTATGCATTTTTCTGACATGGAATAATTTGCTGAATGCCATTTTCCACACAGCCAGGTTTTAATAGATTTGATAACAATTTAAATATTAAAGGGAACCTCAATCCAAACAACATAATGACCCCTAAAGAAAAAGCTCCACAAATGTAGGAGAATGCAATTTACACTTTTTTTATATCAGTTTTCATTCTCTAGTTATTCAACTTTTCATCGTTATTATGTAGTCAGTCATCTTGATTCTCAAGCAAAGGATTATGGGTAAAGTATGACATCATAGAATATGTTGTTTGGATTGAGGTTCCCTTTAAAGTGTCTGCTATAAAGATTTTCAAATGTTTTTTTTTTTTACTGCAATGGAAGGATCTGCAGTTAACCTGTGAAGAACCGCTTGGTACATAGATAATCTGGTACAATGCACAGACCAGATTAGATTTAATTTTCTATCCCTATCTAATTAGTTTGGTTTTGAAATTTGAGCATAATAATCTAATTTGTTACATGGGTGATTAGTATGACGACAAAAACAATGCATATTAATTTCCACCAGCAGGCTGAATAGTGTTTTGTAGCAATGTCACATAAAATTTAAACTTGTGCATCCCAAATAACCCTTGTAAGCGTTAATTGATTTGTACTCTGTTTAACAAAATAGAAAACACAACTGTTGAAAATAAATATATTTAATAGCAACAGTTAGACACATTTGTCCATTGGCACGCACAATTTAAAACTGATGCAACATTCTATTTACTGTACATAATGCGATGACTAATTCAGCATGTGTAAATGGTTTCCTTGGCCCCAGTCTATTGCAAGTAAATACACCGTTCACACCTTGGACAATTACCAGCAAGAAAGCTGAGAGTACACCAACTTGAGCACTGTAAACAGAACTGAACATATTAGTGATTTATCAAAATACAAACCACATATCTATTCAAATGGAAAAACAAATATGGTTGAATGCTTTTTACTTACAGCAGGGCAGAATTAATACTGCAGGATGTTATTCTTAGAGACATGTTACCAGCATTGTAAACTACATTCCAAATATATGCTTGGAAACATTAATGACCATCTTTATTTTGAACGGAAAAAGATGATACATATACAATAAACAGATCCACCAACTAGGTTTAAGCTATCCAATTAAAATGAAAAAAACATGACGAATAGAAGTGTTCCAAGTTGATATCCCTGAATAATAATGTCAATATGCAGATAAAGAATTGTGTTGAGCTTCTAAATCTATATGAAGTATCAAAATGTATGGACGTGTTCAGTTGTAAAAACTAGAATATGCAGGGAACAATGAATCTATCATTTCAAAGGAATGCTCTGCTATCAAGAGACTATGCTTTACGGAAAGCCATACCCCAGGCTGTCTGAACATTGAGGGTAATGGCCGCTTCCAGACTGGGGATAGAGGGACCCAAGGTAATAGAAAAATAAATTTTTAGCTGCACCAAGATCTTTATATATTTGGACAATTGGATAGTCTTAATTGTAAGAGCAAGACATTTTTTATGCCTTTTCTTCAGCTCATATGAGCTGGGTAGGTGATTAATAAATGAATGTATCGGCAATGCTCTTTTTGGCTCAACATACCATTATTCATATGCACATAAACATGTAATAACACTCTTTGAGTCTAATATGTAAATGAGAATCAATCTTCGGGAATTCGGATTAAGATGGGTTAATGTCAAAGAAGTCGCCCCATTTAACAGTCAAACATCTCTGAGTGGCGATTATCAAGATTATACCACATGTTTATTTGTCTTTAGCCTCAGTTTTTACATGCAGATTGATAATTTGCACACTTGATCAAAGTTTTGAATTTTGGGGGTGTAAAAATTAGCTAAGCTGAGTTCAAATCATTTATGCAAATGTCCTTTTTCTCAGAACAGCAATGGGGTGAAGCAGTGTGTGCATTTCGTTTATCGCACCAAAGTGTGGATGCTGACGATAAATATGACTGGATACCTGTGCATTTAACTATACAAATAAGATGGAAGAAAACAATGTATATTCAGCAGTATCTCTGTTCAGCCTCTGGTTTGTCCAATCAAGCTGCTGTGTCATCCAGTTGCCCAACCAATGACGATAAGAGTGAGGCTCAGTAGAAACACACATATCCCAAGGATGAACAAACACAATGCCTAAAATAAAAATTAAAATACTTGGTATTAACGCATTTGTGCAATTAATTTGACTGATTTTGTTTTCCTTTTATGGGGTAACAATTGCACATTTGGTGTACGGTTTTCCAGTTGACAGAAAATCAATATTATTGCAGCACACCAAACATGTTACGTGTAACTCTAAAGTTGAATGTCACATGAATTTGGATATATGCACTACCCCCGGTATATTCAAGATAGTGAGCTTTGTCTGCCAGTAAAACAACACTACATCTTATCCTAGTTTCCAAAATTTCAGATCCTTGAAATTGCGTGTAACATAATAATTACCATAATCTTTTCTCTAGATTTGAAAGGTTCTTTACCAATACGTAAATAAAATATGGCAGGTAAAATAAATACCAGTGCTGTCGATGATGTGGCACCTATATGTATAAGAGAAATATACATTTTATATTGTAAACCACTTTAACTTTATACAAATTTCACGGGAGTCCAAAATTTTCTCAGGAACATCATCAGAGAGTGGCTTTAGGTAATAGTGGTTGACCAATAGAAATTATGGTGGGACAGAACTGCTGTAAAAAATTATTTATTTCCTTTACCTAGATTCAAGCTGCATTGTTTCTCCTTTCTCTTTTAATTATGCGTAACATTTTTTTTAGAAATATTTTTTTTCTGCAACTTTACCTGCAGAAATTTTTTTTTTTCAAAATCCACCCTGTCTGTCTAGTACATATGGAACAAGTCATTGTCAATGACACGTTCCCCTTCCGTTCATATTTGAGTGACACATACATTCAAAGCAGATCATGACCGAAATCTCAGACCACTTTCAGTGGTCTGACCCGAAATGCACCTGCATATGTACAACACATTGTATGATGTGTGTGAAGTGTGGTCTTGATCTGTCCAGGCATGTCCGAGATATGGATGGAAAACTAAATTCTTTAAAACAAAATGGCTGCCTGCTTATATTATGTTTAATATATGCACTAAATCTGAACAAAATCCATCCATGCATGACTGAGATTCGGTTCTGGAATTGTGAAAATACATGATTTTGATGCATTTTCGGCCTTAAAATGGCCATCATTCAGCTATTGTTAAGCGGATCATGTAACAAATGCACATACCTATTTGTGACATGATGTACCATGTGTGTGTGAAGTTTGAACTTGATCAATCCAGACATGTCTTGGATCCGGAACTGAATGCTTTATGACGTGCATCAAGGTCCTATTATGTTTAATGTATCTACCAAATTTGAACAAAATCCGTCCATGCATAACTGAGATCCGGGTCCGGAATGGTGAAAATGAGCGATTTCAATGCATTTTCAGCCTTAAAGCGGCCGCCATTTGGCTATCGTTAATGAGATCATGAAACAAATGCACAAACATATGACATCATGTACCTTGTGTGTGTGAAGTTTGAACTCGATCAATCCAGGCATGTCTCAGATATGGATCCAGAACTGAATTCTTTAAAACAAAATGGCTGCCAGTCGGCCATTTCAAACCCGATCCCCCCCAAAAATGACGTGCATCAAGGTCCTATTATGTTTAATGTATGTACCAAATTTGAACAAAATCCGTCCATGCATAACTGAGATCCGGGTCCGGAATGGTGAAAATGTGCGATTTTGATCTATTTTCGGCCTTAAAATGGCTGCTATTCGGCTATCGTTAATCGAATCAAAAAAATGCATGTGCATATGTCCCATATAATGTGTGATGTATGAGTGAAGTTTTAACTTAATCGGTCCATGCATGTTCGAGATACAGGTGATCACGGACGCACGAACACACGGACGCATACAAGGCAAACCATAAGTCCCCGTTTTCAGACTACGTCCAAATGGGGACTAATAACTTTTGTGTGGACAACAAATTTGTTAAACATGTTGGTTGCAACCTTGTGTATCTACATCATATAAGTAAACATCTGATGTATGGGATGAACGCATGTGACATATTCAAATAAAAATATATCCTCACCAGCAAAACCAAAAACTTCTTTGATATCAGGAACAAATAATGCCAAGACTGTTATCAGAGTGATTAGAAATGCCGTCAGTAAACAATGTCTAAGACAAGAGAACGGTTTATTACCCGCTATCAACACTGTCAGTGCTTTTCTTGCCTGCAACAAAGTGGTAACAAGTCATTGTATATGCAACTATGATAATGTATACATATTTTGAAGACAGAATATGAATACAGAAGACAGAAGGACATTGTTTCTCTAACGGACAACATGACAGGAAAACTGATGCATAAATTGACTGTTTAATCATAATTCGATTTTCACTCACACTTGATACTCAAATGTTTACAGTGAACAAAGTAAAGTGTGAAAAATGGAATCACTAGTTTTAGTGATTTTTTTTTGGAAAAACAAAAAGGTGTGTATCATGTTTGAAGGAAACCTAACCCTATGCACAACGGGATTCAGTTCCGGATTATTCAGTAAATCTGGATTAAGTAGACACAATTTCCCTCTAGCTAATTTTTTAGTTAATATAAAAAAAAAATATTCAGGTTTTATTTTTACAAAAAACAACAAAAGTTTAGTTTGATCCCGAAAAGGGTCAAAATTACTATACTCACTGGAAAATGTAGCAGAGGGACTGTCAAAGTGACAGAAAATAAGACGGCTAATCTAACTATCAGCATTAGAATATCATGTCTATTATATAACGTATAACCTTCCAATAACTCAGTAGATACATTACCTGAAATTAAATATTAAATTTAACAAGTCAGTCACATTTGAATTTGATATGGTGTTATTTTAATATCATAACATGGTAAAATATATTATTTCACTATATCACCAGCAATCAGCATAATTTTTTTCAAACAACACCAAATGCAAATACATGGTTGCAATTGAGGATTTTCAGTACGTGGTTACATTTTTTACACACAGTATTTTAAACGTTTCTGTTCAATGGCACATGATTATTTTGGACACTCAAATGCACGATTCATAATTGTGAAATTACCTTACCATAGAAAGTGAGATATCCAAATAAAGCAGACAACAGATAGAGGGTAAAACAGATGAGTATAGTGATATTTACCACACTCTGCATCCGTGCCTTGGAAGGTCTAATAAAATGAAGAAAAAAACTAATTTAAAAAAGATGTACGTTAATAGGAGCATTACTCAGGAACAATCACCTACAATGTCTGAGGATATGTTTATGTAAATACTCTCATCACATTATCCAATAATGTATGGAATTCTTTAAGTCATTGTGTTAACACAACACTGTCAATGTTGATGTGTTAACTCAATGACTACAATATTATCAAGGTACACTAATAATGTATGTAATAACAATTCTGTGGTCATTGTGTTAACAACACTGTCAATGTTGATGTTTTGACTCAATGACTACAATATTATCAAAGTACACTAATAATGTATGGAATAATAATTCTATAGTCATTGTGCTAAAACAACACTGTCAATGTGTTGACTCAATGACTACCATATCATCAAAGTACACTAATAATGTATGGAATAACAATTCTGTAGTCATTGTGTTAACACAATACTGTCAATGTTGATGTGTTGATTCAATGACAACAGTATTATCAAAGTACACTAATAATGTATGTAATAACAATTCTGTGGTCATTGTGTTAACACAACACTGTTAATATGTTGACTCAATGACTACCATATCATCAAAGTACACCAATAATGTATGGAATAACAATTATATAGTCATTGTGTTAACACAACACTGTCAATGTTGATGTGTTAACTCAATGACTACCATATCATCAAAGTACAGCAATAATGTATGGAATAATAATTCTATAGTCATTGTGCTAACACAACGCTGTCAA